TTTCCCACCCTGCGCTCTAAGAGTCGATCGTAAAAATTTCGAGAATACAGAAAAACACGACGAAACCTCGAGAGATACTGCTGGGAAACGTTACGCAGAAGCGAGGAAAAGTTATTCCGGTCGTTTAGCGGCATCGAGCGAGACGAAAAACGTCAGGCTGCACAGAGTGTGTCCGGGGGGGTTTCCCGTTCTCTTTCGCGGCAGAGGAAAAGAGCGATCTGCCTCTCGGTCGCGACGGGCGAAAAGCTAGAAGAGCAGAATCTTGGCAGCGTAAGCCCCCGAGATATATTGTCCGTTTGAATAACGTTGTAGGTGCTCTTGGGGGCCCACTCCGCGCCCCGGCAGCGGCCGTTTATTAAACGAATCAGTGTTATCGCGGTGAGAGAGCCCTCATGAATAAACCATCGAGTGTTTAGGGCGGCGGAAAGGTGGTGGCACCGCCACCCCGGGGGTTACGGCCTTGCAGTAACCGCTTCCACCCTTCCTCCTTGCCAGTCTCCTGTTTTGCTGGAGGGGATGGCAAACTCTAACGGGACGAAGGACGGTAAGCTCGCCACGGGGTGCGGCTATATTGTTTTCTTGATGAGAGCGAAACATCCCCACCCGAATCTACGACGTATGCGGGATAATTTCAACGCGTCAACGTAGTCGTGCGACCCGTGAAACTTTCGCGACGTGAAAGCCGCCTTGAAGATCTCCGCTGGGGAGAGACGTCTCTTCCGTTCCTCTGTCTACAGGAGAGAGTTTCGAAAATCATAAAATATAGAAAATAATACTAAATTTTTCTATTTGAATTTAATTCACTTAACAGGTTCGTTATCAGCGTTACGTACATTATCGCTCAAAAGTTAGGGTCCTTCTGTTCGATTATCCTGCACTTAAGGTGTTTGGGTCAAAAAAGACCCAAATTACATTTTGTCGATAACGGCATTTACAAAATGAGAATGAGATGGGTCGAGAAAGACCCGTGGACCGCACTATTTAGGGTTAATCGCATTCGTTGAAATGCAGTAGGTTCTAGAAGTAACTGTAAAAAACGAAAATGAACGAGGTGAGAATGATAAATTTCACTTTGAGCTTAGTTCGATGTGAAACATTGAATTTGATTGACGGAATTGAAATTTCATCGATTCGAATGAAATGAGTTATGACTGTGAATTAACATCGTTCTTTGTACTAGCGAGAGTAACCGGAGGCAGAGGTAACTGTAGCATACTGTACAGAGGTGTAAAAGTATTCCGTCCACGGGAGTTAGAGTGGGGGTGATAAGGGCTGAAATCACCGGGGGCAAAGGTCGCTCAGTTACTCTCTGTCCACCGTCTGGTACGTTTTATTCCGCACGTATCCCACGCTCTATCGGTATCGCTGATCAAAATTTCACGCGACACGTCCTTGGCATCTGTATAAATTTGTGCCTGTGTGCAAAATGTTAACCACGTGACCTCGCTTTTTTCATCGTTTTCTTCTTCCTTTTTTTTTCTCGTGCTCGCTCCGATCACCGATATCACGGTGTCGTCGTCTTCGTTATCGCGGGAAAATTTGTTTTCACCGTTCAATCTCAACATACGTGCAGTATAAATTCATTTTTAAATACACGACGGATTTACAACGTGCAACGTGTGAGACGACAAAGAAGAAGAGTTAAAAATGTCCGAATAAAATAAGAATATTTGAAAAATCATGCGAATACGAGAAAACGGAATGTTCGTTTTATGAATGAAATTATCTGTTAAATTAGATGATTATATTTTTACGTGAAAGTAGGAATTTTGTTATGAATATATCAGGTACTGCGATTATAAATTTTCACGTTGAAACGTTTTTCCGTTTTGTTGAATTAAAATTCGTGGCAAATTGTCGGAGATCAAGGGTAAAACCGACGGTAAAAGGAATTGGAGATTAAGCAAATAAAGAAGGATGATTATCGTGTTGCGTACCTTCGTAATGAGATTAACAACGGGCCAGCCGATCACCGTTGTTCACGCGGTGAAGGATTAGGCTCGCGAAATCGTTCGACGCGTGATGTGGAGAATTCAATCCTTTACAACGGTATTTCTCGTTACGCAATGTTTACTGTATTAACGACTGTATAATTCGGCTGAATAGTTTATGACCAAAAAAAAAAAAAAACATAAATTTAACATACTACAGCTATTGTCTTTTTGATTTTTACAAGTGTTTACGGTAAACAATTTTTCTTTTATTTCTAAATAGCGTGCATAACTTGATATATTAATCAATCGGCGAAAAAGTGTTTTAACATTGAACAGACTAGAAACAATGAAATATCAAAGATTTTATTCATCGTGACCTCGTTTAAATTGAAATTTAGTTACACGAAGAGAAATCATCGAAATACAATTTTTCTTTTACTTTTAAAAATAAGTATTACTAATCGATCATTCAGCAGACAAGATCCAATCAAATATGAAACATTCTATTCATCATAACCGAATCCAAAATAATCACTCGTAAATTCAAATTTTTTCACGCAATAAGAAACTACTATATAAAAAATTACCGTGATCAGCGGAACATTCACGAAAGAAAAGCAATTACCGTTCTCTTCTTAAAACCACAAACCTCTAACCGTGCTTAACGAACACATAAAAAAAGAAGCACGCTAAACTCTTGACATCATCAAAATCTCTCTCTCTCCCTCTCTCTTCTCCTATCTATCGCGCTCACATCTTCCTTTACCAAGAAGAATTCAAAGATTGAAACATTCGAATAGAGAAGCACAGAGAAAAAAAGACGCGAGAAACAGAAACAGAAAGAGGAGAAATATTTGGAAGTACAGAGAAGGAGAAAGGATAGATGAGAAAGGCAGCGGGATGGTCGCGACCATCGCTGTTCTTCTCAGGCTTTTTAACGAATCGACCTCGAGGCGAACCACGGTCGCTCGGTGCATGCGTGTTTCTGCTTCTTGCCGACAGAGAGGTTCAGCCTCCTACAACGGACTTGCTCGCTGATTGGATCGGCAGCTGGAGCCGGCGGTTCCGGGGCGGTCG